TGCTAAACTGCGCCAACAGGGCCAACTCAATTTTAGGTTGACGAGTTTCACAATTTGCACTCTACATAATATATTTTAAACTTTTATAAAAACTAAAAAAATACGATTCAAATTTCTACTTTTGTTTATATTATAATAACGTCACTTATTTATATATTCATATTCAATTTAAATTATTTTGATTTTAATTGTGTATTTGTGTCTATACATCATAGGATTTGATAACAGTAAAAAAAAAAWAATAATAATAATAATAGGTATGGAAAAAATACGCCCATTCCATTATTTGCACGTGACCAGCCTCCGGCCACTAAAACAACCCTAATTTCAGAGATTACAATACATTGTAAAATAAAAAAAACTTCCCATAACCACCAGTATTTTTATAACATATGTATATTATACATTTTATTCCAGAAATATATAAAGATAATTTTAATAGTAATCATTGYAGTTTAGTACAAAACTATATTCTATCGAAATGCAATAATTAATATGTATCACATTACATAATTATTGTGTAGTATTAATATTTAATTTCATTTATTTTTAATTTCAGACTAAAAAATGAACTTAACCACAACAGATTCAGATCGGTCATTCATTTCAATACAACAATCTGCACAACCCATTTTCTCGTTAAGTGATCCAAGGATGAGCAGTATTCATTTAAACRCCGACAGTGACAATCGAGGTAAAGTCGTTTTACTATTTTTGATTAATAATAAGCAAAAAATATTTACAAAAAATGTTTGGATTTTTAAAATCGATCTTTAAATGCTTATGTACTATTTAAACCTGCAGTTTTATGATGAGTGATAAACAGTCATTTACATATTCAGTATAATAGTAATATAATAATGATATTAATTAATACGGAAAAACCATTATGCACATCAGCATATTTATTAAATTGAAGATTAAAAAAAAATTTGCGTTTTAATATTAAACTTTAAAACTTCAAAAGGATTTAAGAAGAATATTTTTCGAGTTCGAACAATTAGAATTGAAAATTTTTCCTAAATAAAAACCTAGATAGTTTTCAATGCAGATTTAAAAATATAACTGAAATGTATTGGTTTAAAACATGCTTTATATTAATTATTTTATTTTGAAACCTAAAAAGATGTGACTATATAATATTAATTCCTATATTTTTGCAATTTTATTATTGCTATTTAATTGTAGACATAATATGGAATTAATAAACCTGAATTTTTTCTACGAGCGACGTACGTCGTGTTTAATTTAAGGTTAGATATTATAGTTTATAAATTTATTATATGGTAATTATTTGTTGTTGTGGAATAAATCATGCGCAATATGATTCTGCAGCGTAAAACAATATTACAATTATTAAAGTAATAAAKTAGATACCTATAGTTATTATATACACTTATAATAATATATTTATATATGTATATGAACGGTACCAATGGTAACGGTGGTGGTATAGTGTTCGTGAACGCAGTGAGCTCAATCTGCATTACTCATTGTTAAACAAGACTGATGCACAAGGCAGAAGAAACTTTAAATAGCGACGGAAGATTGGAATAAATGAGTGCTGGGGCCCGCGGTGTATTCCCTTGGAGCTTAGAAACTCCCGGCGGCGGTGGCGCGCACCGCACGAACGGGGCGAAGAAGAGGAATAAATCTGTTGCTAAATGGGAATACGCATGCTGGTGCGTGCTGTCTCTCTACCTCCTCTCCCCCCCCACCGCTGCCGACGACCGTCCCTCGTTCGCCAAAGTCAAGACCTCCGTGCGCGCCGGAGACGGGAAAAAAAGAAACATTTCCCTCGGAATATAGTTTTGCAATTTGTCCGATTTCATTAGCATTTCTAACAGAACCGTACGCGGAGGGCGACAAAAAATAAATAAATAATCCCTCCCCTCTGCACCGACGTCGCGCGTATACTTACCCAATTTCCGTGTATATTTATGCAATCAGACGCAGCCAACAATGCCAGCCACTTTGGCGTTCGCCTTTTTATTTTGTTTTTATACACGCAAATATATAACRTCATTGCAGGGTTATTTGCGTTTTTTCCAGATTGCTTATTTTTATAATATCCATCAGCCGYTGGATGTGTAGTTGTTGCACTGTTGCAGAAATCCTTTTAAACGTATCGGTAGYTTCTCTCGCATTAATTTAGCAAGATTATATGTCAGATTAAGTTAACGAATACAATTATCAAATCGTTGACGCCGCCGTCATACTCGCGTCGTCGTTCACCCCTTGCCGAGAGAAAAATCTCGCGTTTTTCGATTTGTTTAATATTATTACACCCAATAATATGCTCAATGATGTAATTATTACTGAATAGCTGAATAGTGTCCAATAATTTCATTATATGGTCTTTTTATAATGGTATATCATATATGCTTAACACAATAATTGATGTAGTCGA